AGTGTCTAAAAGGCAGGTTGGTGTAGCAGCAAAAGCATAGACCTGAGATCCAAACAGACTTGGCTTCAAATTCTGGCTCCTTCACTGACCAGCTCTGTGGCCCTGGGCAGGCTAATTAACCTCTCTGGACCTCAGGCTCCTCACACATAAAGTAAGACAGCTGTGGAAACCTCATGTGAATCTTCTGAGGATGAAATGTGAAGACAAGCAGGTAGCAGGGTCCCAATCCAGGTCAGATTTCTTCTCCTTTTTGAAGGCAGGCCATGGAGGAGAGTGGCCAGCTGGGTCCACATGGCTCTGCTTTCCTAGAGGCCAAGAACCCAGATTGGGCTGCTTCAGACAGTGTGAGGCAGGGAAGGAAGCCAGGAAGGAGGCCAGGAAACCCAAGTACAGCCTTTGAGGAGGCTCGGGTGAGTCTACTAGGCACGGTGCCATGTGCAGCAGAGACGTCAGGGCTGGCAGAAAACTGCCTTGAACTTGGCCAGGTGCGGTGGCTCACGCCTGTAGTCCCTGCTCTTTTGGAGGCTGAGGGAGGCAGATCACCTGAGGTCAGGAGTTCAAGACCAGCCTGGCCAAAGTGGTAAAGCCTCATCTCTACTAAAAATACAAAAACTAGCTGGGCATGGTGGTGCATGCCTGTAATCCCAGCCACTCGAGAGGCTGAGGCAGGAGCTCGCTTAAACCCCGGAGGTGGAGGTTGTAGTGAGCCGAGATCGCGCTACTGCACTCCAGCACGGGCAGCCAGAGCGAAACTCTGTCTTGAAAAACAAAATGAAACAAAACTGTCTTGAACTTCCCCGGTGGTCAAGGCTCTACACTCCTTGACATCAGCTTGCTTTTTGGAAACAGTGTGAAGGCAATCAGAACAAATCTGTAGGAATACAGTGCAGGCTTCTAATGGGAGTTGCTGCCCTTACCTGGCATCTCTGTTCTTGGCCCTCCCTGGTGGGATGTCCTTCTCACCCTCCACCGGCCCCTTCCAGCACAGCATTGTTGAACCTCAGAATCGGTCCTCTGCCTTCCTGCATCCTCCCTGGGGGATCTCATCCACTTGCTTGGCTATGCTGCATCTCAATGCTGGCAGGTTCTCCATCCACATTACACCACTCCACAAACCTACTGCTCTTGCTGTGTCCCCTACAGAGTTAACACCACTCTGTTGCACAGTCCAGAGACCCGGGAAGTAGCCTTTGCCCCCATTCTCCATCCCATCAGTTGCTGAATACTCCCATTTAATCTCTCTTGAATCTCAAGGCAGTGACCTCATCGGTCAGACTTGCCCCAGCTCCAGATTCTTCCAGAAAGGGTTTTCAGAAAGGTCGTCAACAAAAAAAAGCCATGTTGGAGTAAGTGTTCAGGCTCCCATGAAGACTAAGACTACTTGTAAGCAGATGTATTCACTTATATGGATATCTGCTGGTATTTTTGCTAAAAAGGAGTTGCGGTCATGAGAAGCCAGGTTGAGATGTACTTCAGAGCTTGGGTTTTGGAGTCACATTGACCTGGGTCTGACTCTTGCCAATAATGTCAGTGTGGGAAAGTCACCCAACCTCCTTACCTCCATTTCCTTAACTCTAAAATGGAAAGAAATACTTGTGTCTATCTCATGTTTGAGGGCATTAAAAGAAGTTATAGGTTATAGTTAATGAGCTTGTCTCCACATTAAATGAAATTATAGGTGGAAAGCACTTAGCTCAGTGCCTGATGTGTAGTAAATACTCAAAAGCAAGTTGCCTGTTACTTATACCATTGCAAGTATTTGTAGCCAAACTTTATTTAGTCAATTTATTTAATAAATGAAAGATTAATGACATGAGTAATGGATTCTAGGGAGATGATGATATAGATTTTGAATCTCCACAGAGCAAATAGATGGCTAAAGCAAAAACGCATGGATGCATTTGCTGCAAAATTAAGTTGTCCCCCAAACCCTCAAAATACAAATGGGTAGGAGCAAAACACCAACAGCGACAAGACCTGCATGGTAGCGATTTCTACACAGAAAGAACAAAGCAGTATCCTATGGACCAGAAAACTGAGAACTCCAAAACACTCAGCAGGTATTCACTGGGAAGCACAGCTGACCACTTTGAGAACAGCAGCTGAAGCTGGTAGGATTTTGCCCAGTCTAGTATCAGGAGCATTCAAATAGCTGTTGATAAATTCTGGAGGAGGTGGAAGAGTCTGGGACATCAAAATTCTATAATCCACCAGCCACAGCTCCTTCCAGGAAAAAGCCCCAAGGAAAAACTGTGTGAAGTGAAGTGAAACCAAAATGCATCAGGACAGGAACCCTGCAGACAAAGGAAAGAGAAACTCCAGATACAAATGGGAGAGGAGAACAGAGCCAGGAAACCTTAATAACAAGCTGCCTTAGATTTTGGCACTTCGCAAACAACACAAGAGATAGGTCTGTTAAGTTAGGAATGCTATCCTGAACCACACCATCTTCTACAAGTTCACAAAATCAAAGTTCACATAAATAAGCAATTTCTACCCCTCTGTCTTGCTGGAGGCCCCTTAGCTGGTTTTATTTTGATCTCAAGTCCAAAGGTGGAATTTATCCTTCCAGGGAAATAAATAGTCATTTCTTTTTAAATGTGTAAGAAAGTCATTAAGAAGGTTATAGTGGATCCCCAAAAACCTAGTGTTCATGAAGTTAGGCTGGACTTTAGACTTTGCCAAGGGCCCAGAGAGGTCTCTTCTTCCTCAGGCCATGTGGAGCTCAAACCCTCGACCATGCCCAAACTAAGCCTCGTCCCCCCACCCCAATACCCACGTGCAGCCCTAACTCCTCCGGGCTGTGTTAGGCACTGTGTATGAGGTCAGAGAAGAAAGATTTTTGGTTGTTTAATTCAATATACATGCCCTATAAGGCACAACCTGACCAGAGTTAAGTGAGGCCAAACTGAAAATGGCATTTTCACTGCTAAATGACAGACAGCAGCAGAGAGTTCAGCCAAGATGGCGACTCCTCATCCCAGTGGTTAGTCTTCTGCGGCAAAAGTTGCACCTCTGGTTTGGTACTGCTTATAAATGCTTCATACAGTTATCAGATTCTACTCTTCCTAAGGTCTCCTTCTTCCATTTGAAAAAAGAAAATGAAAAGAAAACATGAATAGCTGTAACCTCTGGGAGAAAGATATGAAAAAATATGGGCTTTAAATCTTTGTGCACTTTTGTGCTGTACTGATTACATTTTCTAGCCTTAAACACGTATTTCTTATATTATTTGTAATGGTAAATGGGGATTATCTAGGCATATAACTTGTGCATATGATATATTAATAAGAATCAACAATATTGAAACAAAAGAGGAACAGAAAAGTATGAAAGTCAAATTCCAAGTTATTGTAAGTAAGAAGAGAATGAAGAGCAGAATAACACCATTGGAATAAAAACACACAGAAAGATGTGCTGATAAAACAGACTGAAACCATTGCCTACTTTTCAAAAGAGTTAAAAGACACAGCGATGGGTTGTTTCATTAATGGCCCTCCAGTTAATCAGCCTTCTGACACCTGTACCCCATGCAGTTCCCTTCCATGTGGTTGGCTATGTGACTTGCCTTGACCAACTGAACATCAGGAAATGTGAAGCAGGCAGAGTTCTGATAAGCATGGGGGAAGTGGCTCTACCATCTTATCTTGAAACCATGTGAGGAAGCTCACTCTAGCCACTTTGATGATGAAAGACCACATAGAGAAAGAGAGATATATTCATCTCAGCTGTCCCAGCTGAACCCAGCTCCCAGCTGACCTACCAGCTGAATGCATCTTCACGAGTGAGCCCAGCCAATCCTGAAGAGAAACAACTTGGTCAACCAACAGAATTGTGAGAAATAACATTGCAATTGTCCTAAACCACTATGTTTTGACACAGTTTGTTACACAGTAATTGACAACAAATATAGACATTCAGAATTAACATGTAATAAAAGCATTAACAAAATTACATAAGACATAAAAAACAACATAAATTAGAATAAAAAACTCAGAAATCAGGTGAGAGAACTTAGGGAAAAAGAAATAAAGGGAAAATGATTTCAGAAATGAAGACTTCACTAGAAAACACACAAAACAAAATACAATAGATAATACCTTGGGAGAAAGAGAAATATAACAATGGGAACTTTTTTTGTTTTTTGAGACAGAATCTCACTCTGTCGCCCAGGCTGGAGGGCGGTGGTATAATCTCAGCTGACTGCAACCTCTGCCTCCTGGGTTCAAGCAATTCTCCTGTCTCAGCCTCCCAAGTAGCTGGGACTACAGGCATCTGCCACCATGCCAGGCTAATTTTTGTATTTTTTTTTAGTAGAGACAAGAGTTTCACCATATTAGTCAGGCTGGTCTTGAACTCCTGGCCTCAAGTGATCCGCCTGCCTCGGCCTCCCAAAGTGCTGGGATTACAGGCATGAGCCACCACACCTGGCCAAGAACATTTTTAAAGAAATGAAGCCAGAGGTAATAAAGATTTGAGGGACAGTGACAATTGTTGAAGATTGGCAAAGAGGATCCAGCATTCAGATAGGAGGCATCCATAACCAAGAAATCAAAAGCAAGAGAACAGAATGAATACTAAAAATGATAATTCCATAAAAAGTCCTTAAAAAACTATTTAAAACTACACATTGAAAGAACACTGGGTGCCTAGGAATATAGATTCCGAATGACCACCACCAAGTTAAATTCTGGCAAATACTGAACATAAATGGAAAAGAAAATACTTGTTTCGTTTGCTACCCTCTCAAGCCTGAGCTCTGGCTCTCTGGCTGAGCAGGAGTTCTCTAGAAAACCAAGCGGGGAGAGGTTGCCAAGCAGAGACAGCTTGGAAAGGTCCAGAGCTTTGAGAGAGCATTTTATCTACTGGGAACTATGGAACCTCATGTGAGCATGGGGGGAGGGTGTACAGCGGGGGCAGTGGCAGATGAAACAAGAGAAGGATGCTGAGTCTTAGGCATTGAGCCTGCTCACATGAAAAGAAGGGGCTGGAACACTCACCCATGTAGGGCTTGGTGCCAGCCATGGAGGAAGCCCTCTCTGCTCCTTTTACTACCGTTGCTATGTTGAAGTCTGTAATGTGAACATGTCCTGCAAATACAGAAACAGAAACTCAAGTTAGCATGGGCTGCAGGCAGCTGGGTATTTAAAGCTGTGTTTTGAGGCAAGGTGGATACAGGAAGAAAACATTAGAACTTCTATTTATAATGCTATTTTATCTGATACTTTAAACATGTTTATTTTGTGTGCATGTTTCAGAATGTGAATTCATTTGGTAACATAGGCATATTAGTTTTGCATAAATATATTGAGGGGCAGGATACATTTTTTATGGATTAAAAGTTTAGAGAGACTGATGTGGAGAATTAAAGCTCCTGGAAATAAACAAGACAGGACAGCCCAGACTCTTTCTCCCAGGAAAGCTGTAGGTGGGCTGTGGCTGGGGCAGGGGTGGGTGGAGAGGATTCTCCCACTCAGAGGATACTGCTTGTTCTGCTGTTTGTCCACTATGGTCATTGGAGACCTTAGTACTGTTCTTGGTGAATTTAGTAGGGAGAAGTCTAGGGGGTTGAGACCACCTCCCATCCAGGCTGAAGTGATGGCAGTGGATGGGGCATGGATAGGCTGGGTGCACCTACAAAGTAGGTGTTCAAAAAACAGGACAAGCAAAGAAGAAGGAGAGAAAGGAAATGAAGGAAACAAAGTGATGTGCAGGTAAAGGAGATACATAGAAGAGAAGGAGGGAAGGGGATAGGGAGGAAGGAAACACCCAAATGGTCACTACTTGCTTTGTGGGGACTTTTGATCAGTACTTGCTTTTTGGGGAATTTGGTACATATAAGATTCCAGCTCAGAGATCCTTGGATAATAGTTACAACTGCACTTACATTTCTATTTTTCTGTCATCACATCATGTGAAAATGGCTGACTGCATTTTCACCAAATCTGAGAGTGGCATTTGGGATGTGGGACTTAAATGCATAGATGGGTGGCATATGCAAAATTGACTTGGAGGGAATTGGAAGGCATCACCAAGAGATGGGAAAACACATTCTGGAGCAGGTACATTGAGGCATGCTGAGAAGCCCACAGGACTGCATATGGGAGAGGCATGCTTGATGTGATCAGCTACAGTGGACAGAAAAAGCACTAGCAGTTTAACATACAACCCTCTAATCTCAGACTCAACTGCCAGCACTGATGTGTGAGCAAGCTGCTCAGCCACCAATCTGTTCAGTGGTCCTAGGTGAGATGCAGCAGCAAGGTATTTATTCTGTGAGGATTTGTAATACTCTTCAGGTACTTGTGGATGAAGCTTAAGTCACCCAGCCAGGTCTTTGCTAGGATGCACAGTATTCCTACCTAAGTAACATTCCTAGAACATTCCCAGGCTGCTTTGGCCTCTGGGGCTTCCTCAGGTCCCCTCCCTGTGGCTGCAGTGAGTATCTCTCCATTCAACCATCCATGGTCCTGCCTGAAAAGAGGCAGTGTGTAATAGTAATTGGGTGCACAGACTCTGAGCAAGACTGCCTTGGTTTAGGCCTCAGCTTTGTTGGGGGTAGCTGTAGAACCTTGGGCAAATAACTTAATCTAGCTGGGCTTCAGTTTCTCCATCTATAAAATGGGGATGATGATAATAAATCTCCATCTCAGAGGGCTGTTGCAGAAGTCAGGGAGTTAATACACATAAAACAGTTAGAGTGATGCTGACATGTAGGAAGTAGAGAGGCTTCTCTTAAGTGTTTGCTCTTAGCATTATTATCCTGCCAAGGAGTAGCTCCAAACCCACCTTCTCCAGCCAAGACCAACACATCCCCTGCACCCTTCTGTTCCCTTATTTCTTCTTCTTCTTTTTTTTATTTTTTTTTGAGATGGAGTCTCACTGTGTCTCCCAGGCTGGAGTGCAGTGCTGCAATCTCAGCTCACTGCAATCTCCACCTCCTGGGTTCAAGTGATTCTCCTGCCTCAGCCTCTTGAATAGCTGTGATTATAGGTGCACGCCACCACGCCTGACTTATTTTT